TGGATGTGTACATCAGCTAAGCCGGTTGTGGGGGTCTTTATTACGCCCTATCTTGAGCGCTTTTCGACTCGTCAGCGTCCCTTAGGCAATCCTTGGGGGTAACAGGTTCATCCTAGGGAATTTCAGAATTTATTATATTGCCCTTTAAAAGTAGACATCAGGTGAGGGAAAGCAGCAGTGAGGATAGGGAGAGCGAAGAACATATCGAAAAGAAAATAGTTGAATTGAGCTGGTAGGAGGAGGAGACCTTGCAGAGGAGAATGTTTGTCGACAGCCGGCGGGCGACGACGACACTTGTCTGTTCAAGGTTTTTTATCTAAAGTAGTTCAAAAATAGAAGCCGTTTGGAACACGATGAACACGTCTTCGTTTTTCCTGCTCTTCTTTGTCCATTTTCTATAAAAGGGAAAAAGAATTGAATAGAAAATGACAAAGGACAATGTTGGGAAAGTAGTAATGTCAATAGAATCCCCACAGGTAAGTAAACTTTAGTCAATAGAAAATCAGTGGGTAAGCGATCTGATCAATGGTCGATTTCGACCGAACATCCATCATACTTTCATATCGATATCGGACTATTCAGTTTCGCATCCGTTATTTTATGTGCTTATTTGTTTTGATTTATAATACATTTACAAAGGTATACATATAGGGGCGGAGGTGGTGCAGTGACAAGTGGCGCACTATGGCACATGCATGGACACAGGTTCTAATCTCGGATTGGTATCCGCCTAGACCAACCAAGCCTTCCATCCCTCCGAGGTCGGTCAATTGGTACGAGATCCACTCGGGAGGATGAAAGCACTGACTAGTAAATACATGGCTGGCCACAGCTAGCCATTGTATGGGGCCCATACGCACTCAATACGCCACTACGATTCTAAGTGGGAGTTGGAGGTGGGGCGCACACCTTTGACTAACGCCGAGAGGCTTTATCTCTCATCCTCTCTCTCTTATATACTTTTTTGTCTGATGAATGGAAGGGACCAGACGATCCTGGATCGGTGTCTTTACACCAACCAACATGTCCTGTGTATTGATCGGCCCTGGAAAGACAGAGAGCCCAGTGGACCTCGGTAGGATTTCATCTTGATACCGTACACCTTATGATAAGCAAATAAATAAACAAGATTAAATAAATAATTAGCCCATTATCTCCTGTGCTACACTACTTCTGGCATACTTCATCAGAAGAATTATGTCTGATGGTACAATTGGCGTAAGACGATGGCAATACCCAAGGATGACTTTTTTTTTTGGAGAAATAGCTGAAGTCAGAGGAGATATGTGGTATGAATAGATAAGATGGAAATGAAGAAAAAAAGGGAAAAATTCTTCTGGGCCATATCGGACCATCGAAACAAGTAAAACAACTGCAAAATGTTCCTGACCCTTGAGTTGCTGGCTCCATAAAATCTTTTCTTGAACTTTTGCATTCTGACTGAACAAAACGGCATGAGGTGAAGGTTACAGCTACCCAACACATTCGTTAATTGGTTCATTAGAAGAGTTCCTTCAAAAACTAAAAAAAACCCTGTATGTAGTTCAAGGTTTTTCATTTCGTACCAGCCCTGTTACGTGTAAGTAGAGGCTCGGCCTTGGATAATGGCTTTGCTAATGGAAAATCACTTGCTCTCATAAAACAAGTTTGCTGCTAAGAGTCCTTGTGATAGCAAATCGATGATTTTTTTTTCTAGATAGAAGTAACTTTGCATTTTCGCTTAGCAAACAATCAAAAGTCGTCGGGTACGGACGGAGTCAGGTACTGATCATTTTCGACGAAGATTACAAAAGCGAGATCGCATTTTCCTAGCAAAAAAAGAAGCTTTGTCATTACTGAAAGTCCACAGCTACACCGAACACAAAAAGATTTTTTCTTCAAAGAACATTCTCTTTGAATCTTTTTTTGGAATTTTTCAAAGGCATAAGTCATTAAGTAACTGAACACAGTGCCCATAGCCTGAAAGTAACACTCAAGAATACATACAGTTTTACAAAAAATTCTTTCTNGAAAAATTCTTCTGGGCCATATCGGGCCATCGAAACAAGTAAAACAATTGCAAAATGTTCCTAACTGACCCTTGAGTTGGTGGCTCTATGAAATCTTTTCTTGAACTTTTGCTTTCTGACTGAACAAAACGGCATGAGGTGAAGGTTACAGCTACCCGACACATTCGTTAATTGGTTCATTAAAACAGTTCCTTCAAAAACTAAAAAAACCCCTGTATGTAGTTCAAGGTTTTTCATTTCCTGTACCAGCCCTGTTAAGTGTAAGTAGAGGCTCGGCCTTGGATAATGGCTTTGCTAATG